TATCCAGTGGTGTTAGAGAGCGCAGGACAAAAGCACGAGTATGAGGACTGATATCAACCTGAGATGTGGCAGAACATATAACAGCATTTATTCTTTACCTGGACAAGGAAAAACGTATTCTCAGAAATTGCGTTAAACTGAGATGAGCGTGAGAGCATTTCCGTCTGCTTCCCCCTGCACACACAGGTCCACATAAAAAGACACCATCGTCATCTTTTTGTTCTAAAACACTTGCAGAGCGATATGATTCAGTGTTTGCTCTAAACTGTTCTTCTGGTGTTTTCTTAAAAAAGGAAAATGTAAAAGTTTTGGTGGTAAACCTTTTAAAACGTGTCACATTTTCAACCATTAGGACCCAACATTCTCAAAATGTTTTTAACAACAAGTCTGACTCTTATGTAAGCTTGTGTAATTGTCAAGTGTTTGCACATATGGCCAGTTTCTAATGAATTAACCTAACATCGATGTCTGTGGGAGGAAGCCAGAGTACTTGGAGGAGAACCTTTTCTACTGACCACTCTTTTAGCCATACATTCGTACAGTGTTTTAATTTTGACAGATTATCAGATTAAGCGATTAACAGATTAAGCGAACATGCATGTCTTTAGAATGTGGGAGGAAGCCAAAGTAGTGGAGAACAGTGAGAACATGCAAACTCCAGGTAGCCACCAGGTTTCCAGAACCTTTTTGCTGTGAAGCAACAGCACCACTACAGTGCAGTCCTAGTATGACAAAGTTTATTACCTGGGAAAATAAAGCATGCAGTGAGTATAGTCACTAAAGTTTACCAAAGGGGTTTATGGATGGACAAGCAGACGAGTTTAAAAAGAACAATTTCTTACCTTAACAGCTCCCCCACACCACATCTGTAAAAAACTGCAGGCTGTTCTGTTTTTGTTGGCAAATCTTAAATTTTAATATTAGACAAACATAACCGCAGTAAATACAAAACATATTTTAGATTATTTCATTTATTAAAGGGGGAAAAAAGATATCCAAATCCACATGACCCTGTGTGAAAGTAATTGCCCCCTAAACTAAAAACCACTACTTGTGCCACCTTTAGCAGCAAAAACTGGAATGAAGCATTTGCGATAACTGAGAATGACTCTCTCACATCAATGTGGAGGAATTTTAGCCCACTCTTATTTGCATAATTTTTTTTTTTGTTCCAGGATAAACGTACAGTTTTTCATTTTACTTTTTGTTTCATTTTGGGGGGGGGGGGTTGGACTTGGTGGTGTGTTGCTGGTGCATTCAGGGCATGAACCAATGGTCGGACATTCTCTTTCAGGATTCTGGTCGGCTTAGGGTTAGCCATTTGTGGATAATGGATCTCACCGGGATTCACTAGAGTCCCAAAGCTTTTTCCATGCTTATAGATGGCAATGAATTTGTTTATCATTTGTTCCTGACTTTCTGTTGATCGTGGCGTGATGAGTTTCTTTTTGAGATCTTTTACCCTGCTTCACTTTATCAGACAGGCTCTGTTTAAGTGATTTCTTGATCCAACAGGTCTGGCAGTAACTAGGCCTGGGTGTGGATTGTGAAATTGAACTTAGCTTTCCAAAACATGCAGTTAATTTGTGATTTAATGGTTGTTTGATGAGCTGAAACACGTAAGTGTGACAAATATCTGAAAAAAGAAGAAATTAAGAAGGGGGCAATTACTTTTTCACAGCGCGCTAACATTTTGCAAATGTTTTATAATTAAAAACAAACTTTTTCATTTTCGTCATCATCCTTCAAACATCCTTTGAACAATTGATTCAAATGTTGTCTTGAAAACATCGTAACAGCTTATGGGTAATGTTTTTTAGTGTTGTAGAAATGTTCACTGTCATAGCTGAGAAATCAGTGCCACAGCCTGCCTGTGTTGATTAGCCTGCTCGAGCAGGTATACATTGTATCCTTCCTCTCATCTCCTCCCTGAGTTTTCTCTTCCCAGGTGTCATTCTCATTTAGGTTCCCAGAAGGGTTTTTTCCATTCTGAGTTCCCACACTGTGGAGCATTTCGTTTGCAGGCCATAACCTCCATATAGTCTTCACTCCCCAAGGTGTCATTGTAACTGTGAGGGTGAAAGGCGATAGCATGCTCAGCTCTCCCTCAGGTGCAAAGCCGATGCGACAAACAGGGTTTCTTTGTGTGTGTTTGCGACAGAGCAGGACAGATGACTTTGGCAAAAGTACATGCACAGTATGGATAGCTTAAAGAGGAGCATCTGCATAAATTTACATGGCAAAAAGATATTTGTGAAAATAATACCTAATTCGCCTACACTGCCAGGCACAAGTGATGATCAGTAAGCTCAAGTACTGAGAAAGGTGAGCTTCTTTAATGGCAACTTGAGGCTGTTTCCCAAAGTGAGTCGGTCCCATACAACGTCTGTAGTTAATTGTCACGGACTTCCACATTAAAAGGTTCAGCTTCATAAATAAAAATTGTTTACAGCCTGTCTTTTATTTCCATAACTGATTGATTTTAAATTTAAACTTCATATCAACTAAAACCAAAAGACCAGTGTTACTTTTCTCTAAATATTCAACTCGCTTACACAGCGAAATCCATGGATCCATTAACTGTCAGAGTTAAGACTGAATTTCAAACAATTCAAATTCAGTGTTGTTGTTGTTGTTGTTGTTTTACAACTGTACTATGCCCTCAAATCGTGTCATAGAAGTCAGATAAGATTATACATGCTTGAAAAAAAGGCTTCACATTGAGGTCTTATGTCTATCTGATTTAAAAATATGAAGTCTGATGGATTTCTGTGTGCTGATATCATCAAGGGTAAATATTTTTTTCACCATAAATCCACACTACATTGAATTTGGAATTACTAATCATCCTTATGTAAGACTCCTCTCTAGAAATTTTCATTGCATGTCTGCCAACATTTAAAAGATTTATGACACAAAAGTCACACGTAACACAGTTGACAGGAGGGATTAGGAGAAAAAGAGAATCCTTTATTTAAGATAAAGGTAGGTGTTTTTATAAATATGAAGCCTTTCTCTCTTCAGCTTCTCAGTAGAGGATAACCTTATCTTCCCAAAAGATAAAAAAAAAACTATCTATATATAACTATATGTAATACTGCAGTTGTAATGCTGTAATAGCAATGAAAAGAGAACGGAGCACTTTGCAGTTTTCCAAATGTAATTGTCATGGATCAAATGACACAAACTTCAGTAGGAACCCATCCTTTCAAACCACTCAATCATATCAAAACGAGCCATCACATCATTGCTTTGTTCATACAAGTATTGCACATGGTTAATCTGGTAGAAAAGTGTATTTATATACTCAGTGTAATATATACTGTACCTAGAGAATATAAGAGTGGTTAGTTCCATTACTTCTAAAAATATCATGTGAATTGCTTGATTTTATGTAATTACTATGTAAGAACACTTTTTTCATATTGTACAATATAAACACTGCTACTACTACTAATAATAATAATAATGAACTATGACAATGGACTCATGTTTAAATAAATTAAAACAAATTTTCTCTAAACTGTTGAAACAATAATATATAAAACAAGCATCCAAGAATATAACAGCATTTGTACCAACAATGACATGAGAGAAATACTGAATTAGAGAGGAAGAAACTTACCACACTGAATTTAAAATCACCTCAGATGAAGGAAATGAAATCTTTCGATGTTTGTTATGTATAAACATTCAATTTTTATCATTTATGGAAAATGTCACAAAAAGTGTCAAATGTACTGGGAGAAAATTTCCAGAACATTTTTTGCTTTTTCACGCATTTTTTTACAGTGCAATTTAAAGCATGTGAATGAATCAAATAGTTTTAAAAACACATTTCTCATGTTTTAATAATTATTTTAAACAAATAATGATGCAAAAACATATGTCCTGGTTTTAATTTAAAGAGTTGACATTTAGCAAATCAGACACTGGGGGGGAAAAGGTTATAACAAAACATTTTCTACCAATTCCCTGATTTTTTCTATTAACGAAAAAGAAATACGCCCCAATATAAAACTGATCATTGCTTGAATTTTTTTGTAAAACTGATAAACACAACCAGTGGGAATGAAATGTATGTCTAATTATATGACGAACGAGCTAATTTACTCTTTCATAACACCTGTACAAGCTTAAAGTTGACGTTAGCCGAGGCCCAACAAGGAGCTGTATTTGGTAGCTGTCTGCTAGGCTTCATTGAGTGAGCTGAACTGGACCTCTTTACTGTGATGCTTTTTTAATTAAATCAACTGATAGGTAACGTGTGGTAACTTAACACTCTGTCCTCTCATTTAAGCATAGTCACTGGCTCCAAATTATGGAGGTGGGAAGAACCATAAAGCTATTCAAGGCTTTAAAACTAAGTAACTGTGTGGTATGAGGGTGGCTTTGTCCATCTTTTGTATACCGTCAGTGGTTTTATCTCATTAGTTGAACTGACCTCTTAACAATGCATTTATATTACCATTGTATTACAATAGTTCCATACCATTTACTTGAATTATGTGCTTTGTAGCAATTTATGAAAGGGAGAAAGAAAATTACTGTATGAAGGCGGGTTAGTGTTGGCCCAGGAAACACCTGACAGTTGGAGGCCACACAAAGCTCTCCCTCTCCTATTCTGCTAGGCGAAGCATCAATTATTCAGCTTACTGTAAATGTGGGACAAGAGGAGGTCAGGCGAGATTCTTCCCTCCATGCTGTGGACGATGCTGACTTGCCAGAAGGGTGGTGATGATCATCATCGGGCTGATGATAATATGTTATTATCATTGCTGACACGGATTCGGTGATGGATGATGACTCACACAGAGAAACACTTGTGCGTAGAATACCTCTGCGTTGTCTTGGCTTTGCTACGAGTCTACACACACACACACACACACACACACACACACACACACACACACACACACACACACACTCTCTTACTCACAGAGAGAGAGACTATTGAAACATTTCAACAGGGATAAGCCTGGATGATGACACAGACAGAGCGCCCTGATACAGTATAGATGAACCTGCTCACCACAGTGTTGCCATAGTAACAATGTAAGGCCTTTCGACAAGTCAGGAGGGTCAGAAGGAAGAGTTGTGATAGGAGATACGTTTTGAATGTGAACTTTGTTGCTCTCTCGCCTCTTTTTCCTCCTCAATCAATGCTACAGTGTTGGTTCGCGCTGCTGCACGATCAACAATGAAATTAAAAACTCCTCAAGGAAACTCGAGGATAAAGGTTGGTGGGGCTGACACCCACTGTTTCCTGTGAGGAATGAATGACCAGGAGCAGAGGACACTGCAGTGGTTCAGCAGCTGGTATGGTGCAACAGCTCAAAAACCTCTTCTGCTATGACGAGCCTGCTTATGTGTTTATGTTGTGTGCTGTTGGAGCTTATGGCAGTCCACAGTGAGTATCTAATCTGTTTTGTTTTTATAGTTTTGCTAACAAAAGATTCAAGCTTTCTTTGATTTAAAATATTATATCCAATCAGAGTTTTTCCACATTACTAAAACATTAGCTCCCATTCTCCCAGATGTGTGCCTAAGCTAATTTATTGAATCAATCACTCTTTTAGCAAAACCCTAAATGGTAAATTATCATTTAACCTTTCTGCAAGCACTTTTGTTTTCCTCAGGAGGCAGAAGTTAAACACACCTAAAGCACAGAAATCGTTTAAAACTCTCAACTCAGCTCAAAACGGTGCATAGTTTGTTGCTAATGATGGGGGGGGGGAACTGATAAAAGGTAGAGTGTACATGGGTGCATGGGTGTGCTGAAGGTTGATACCAACATTGGATGGCAGCAATCTGGGAGGCAGAGGAGGGAGAGCAAATTCAGTTCAGTAATGTTAGATGGACTGTGAGCAACTGAGACAGAGTATACTGTGGATGAAATTGAAAAAAAAAAAAAAAGGAACATGTAATATGAGTCTTATACAAGTCTTATGCAATCTAAAATATATATAACATATAATCTATTTGTTCTTTTTCTTTTGTGAATGAGGGAAGCAGTAACAAGTGAAAGACCTAATGTCATCAGATCCTCTGTTGCCGCCGCGCAGAGGCTCTGATGGGTGTGTACGCTGATGTTTCAGTGCATCACCTTGTTAACAAAAAAAGAGTCTGGAGAGGGAGATGCTGGCTGGGAGTCCATTTCTCTTTTTTGCATCTTGTTTTGACATTTTTGTAGCTATCTTTCAAAATTTACAAATTGTACAGTTTCCTTTTATAATTAAGCCACTGTCAGAAAATGTTGTAAATGTTGTTTGAATTTTTTTTTGTGTGTTTTTAATGTTTTGGGGAAAGAATCAAAGGTCTTGAGAAACGTATCTTAGTACTTACGAAAAACTCTTGGCAATTTATGTCTCAGCGTGATGATACTGAGAGTTAGTCTGAATGTTGTTGAATTTTCAAAACTTTAAATATGACTACTTAAATATGGCTACCATCAACGGTTAGGTAACCAAATCCACTCAGCAGTACCCGCGTATCCTAACTATACTTTTACCTGGCATTCTTCTGATTAACAGTAAGTTTCTGAAGGTTTGCCTTCAGAGTAAAAGTTGTGCTTCATCACTGCAGACAGGTTTCAAAAGAGCAAAAATAGTCTCTGCTGCAGCGCGGAGAGCAGCTCGACTGTTTGCACACAAGTCTGTCACTTCCATTCATATTATGACTGCAGCACTGGTCATGTGTCTGCAAAAACTCAGTAGATCCCAGATTAAATCTGTAGTTTTTTTTACTATCCATATAGGTAACAACAAGCAGGTCTGATGAAAGTATGAAAAAAATCCGTTTTTAATCTGAACATGGAAATTTGTTTTGGGGAAAGCAGTTTCAAAGTCTGCTCACGGTTAGATTTATGAATAGCGACTGGAAACAACTGTCAGCCGTGTCTCGTTTGTGTCTAATCTTCACAAAGTCCACTTCCTCATATCCTATTCATTTTCAAAGATAAGTTAAACAGAACACGCGCAACTTATGTTCCTTTCTTGGCTTGCTAATGTTTCCATACAGGCCGTGTGCTCATGCAGAGCCGTATAGTAGGTGGTCACACCGCTGCACCAAATTCCATCAGATACCTCGTGTCACTGAAGAGCACCAGCGGCCAACACTTTTGTGGTGGATCACTAGTTCACAGGTACTGGGTCCTGACTGCAGCGCACTGCAACATCGGGTAAGAATCTTCAAGATCTGCCATTAGCAGCAATCTGTGACTTCTAAAGTTTCATGTGTCTAAAAAAAATCCAACTACGGTTTATCAGTTAGTTAATTGAGTAATCTACAAACAACAGCATATACTGCAATAACTTGTTCGATCTCCTAAGTTCAAACTTTTAGCACTCAAATACTGTAGCATACCTCTAAACTCCAAAAAAAAAAAGAACAAGAAGCTTATGTGAAAGTAACAAATATCATTGAGCACAGCCTTCCTCTCAGTTTTATTATTTCATAAGAGTTGGTGGCTGGACGTTTCAAAGAGGTATAGTGCTATGGTAACAAGGGGATCTTAGTACGTCATAGTAAACATGCATCGATTTTCTTCCACTTATCTACTTAAGGGTCGAAGGGGGGGTGGATGAGAGGCAGGTTGCCAATCTTCCTGAGCTAACACATAGAGACAAACAACCATTCAGGCTCACATTCACACCTAAAGTCAGTTTAACACCATTTAACTTAAGCCCATGGATGTCTTAGACTGTTGGAGGAAGCCACAGTAACCTGAACTCCACACAGAAATGCCACAGCTTGGATTTTGAACGCAGGACCTTCTCGCTGTGAGAGAAGAGAGCCTCAGAGAGCCACCAGCATGGCCATAGATGTAATATTTATGGGCATCCACACAGTAAGAGAGTAACAGCATCGTAGCAAACAAGGGACTGCAAAAGGTACAAGAAATTCAGCAACTTGTAGCAAGAACAAGTGAAGTAAGTAAGCAGCAACTAAGTATGTTAACTTTAAGCTCAGAGGTTATGGGAGCCAAGGGTGCAGTTTGCTTGACCGAAGGTGGTAAATACATCAGAGGGTTATCTACGTAACCTGGAATGTCCACTAGGCACTGCAGGTTGTGTGCATCATTTCCAAATGTGGGCTGGCTATACTCTACAGCCTTCATTTTTGTGAACTCAGATGTAGCTGATCAAAAGAATGGATTGTCAGCCACAAATCAAGGATGAGAATATGTACACTTCCACCATAAATCTGAAACACTTTCACAGACGGGAACATTTCTCTGGCATTTTTTCAGTACACTGTGGTTCAGAGTTAACTTGGCATGATTTTCTATTGCGAGCAGATGGTCCCAACAGATGCCTAAACACAAACATTCATTCTGCTGTGGGTAGGTAACGTCAGGACACAAACTCAACCTCTATGGGGGCCAGTGGGAAGTCAAACAGCACACAGATGCGATTTAGTCAGCTGACCTTGGCGCATCACTGAGAAAGACGGTGAAGTGTGATCTTGTCTGGATGTAGGAAATTGGCCATATTTCTGTCACACTGTCCCCATCCCCGCCTGCTCACAGTAAGCCATTGTTCACTGGCAGACAAGCAGTTCATGGTGGTCACGATCAAGCCCTGTGCACACTTCGAGTTTGACTTTGTATTCAGGTCGTTTTACTTTATCTTTGTCTTTCATTCATTTAGTAAAATACAAAAAAATAGCTAACTAAGCTTATATTATTTGTGGGAAAAGGCTTCTTTTGTTTCCTCTTTCAAAGCGATCACGATTACACGATTACATCTTTTTAGTGCTCTGTTAACAAATGTGATGCAACATGGATTTCTGTGTTTTAGGGCAGAGCAAATGATGATAGTGGCAGGCGACTACAAGGTAAACATCTTTGAGGGTACTGAGCAGTACGCTAAGCCCCGCATCTTGGTCATCCATCCCCTGTACAACAGGAGCACCAACAACGCAGACATCATGCTCATTAAGGTGCCACAGAATCGGTGCAGAAAAGTTACCAGTGGTTTGTTAAAGTTTAATCTGTTACATCTTTCTTTTTTTAAAAGAAAAACATGTTCACGTGGAAACTGTACAATTTTCTGTCCAGCTGCGGGCTCCCATGGTTCTGAACAAATACGTGTCGCTGGCGCCTCTTCCCAGGCAGGGGACAGGTGTAGCTGAAGGCCACGTGTGTCGGGTGTCTGGGTGGGGCTACAATAGTCTGGAAGGAGGCCAGGTGCCTGTCACACTCAGGACAGTCACAGTGCCCATTGTCTCAACTACAAGGTGTAACAGCAGCGACTCCTTTAATGGAAACATCACAGCAAACATGATCTGCGCTGGCTACAGCACTGGAGGCAAAGATGCATGCAAGGTACAAAGAACAAAGACACCACCTTTCACTAATCAGGAAAAAAACCCATGTTTTTAAAAGTTTCAGCTGCAAGCTAAGTGAGTGTTGGACACCGCCGCGGCCCTCTGTGCCAAGCATGTTCATTTGATGTTTTGAAAAGGCAAGAAACTCATTTTGAAGTAATAGACTCTCAGAGGTACCATCCATGGTTATCACACAGCACAAGCTGAGCCTACTTTCATCATCTCACTTAAGAGCAAAACAATAACACAGTTCTGGAAACCTCTTCCCCCCGACAGTGTAAGGATACAGTTGATCATGTCAGTGTTGGTTCGAGCTACAAGCTTTTATAAGGAGACATGCCTGTTTGTCCTGAAACATTACTGCAGTTGTAATAATCGCATAAGAGATAGAAAAGCAACCCTTAAAGTAGCAACACGACTGAAAACCTGGAGTTTTGCTGTAAACGCTTACATAGCAGCAAAAATAACCTATGATTTGGTTATTTGCACCGTGAAAGAGTTTCAGCCCGGCCGTTGGTGTGAAAGAATAATTTACACGAAATTCAGCGTGTGGTATGTGAGTAAGCTATGTCTCACCTTCGGCAAAGTAGAGAATGACTAGTTTAAAATAAACTCTATGTAAAACCTGTGTGTTTGACAAAGTCCTTGTGTGTTGGGTTTTTTTTCAAGCAATAATAATGATTTTTAATAATATGATTCAAAGATAAGTATTACAACAAAAAACAGAAAGAACTTTTCTAAAGGAAAAGCAGACCAGCTGTACTCAGTCAAGTTTAAATTCATACCTTGTTGGCCAGTTGGAATTTGTCTTCCCCACTACATCCTAAAAGCCACATGTGAGTATTTCACACATGCAGTGCATTATACATGAGATATGGTACTATGCAAAAGTCTTAAGCCGTCTATTATTTCTTTATATTTTGCTAAAAAAAAATGGGAAACAGGTGCAGTGAATTACTGAAACACAGCACCTGTTGGATGTTGGCTGCCTTTGTCTCTATCGAGATGATCCCAAACTGCTTCAGTAATGTTGAGGTCCAGGCTCTGGGGAGGCTGATGCAATGACTGACGGTGTTCAGGTGTTTTTCTATCCAGATATAGTTTTGCTGTTTGAGATCATTGTCATCCTGAAAAACATAGTTGTTGCCATTCAGATGCTGTCTACATGGTATCCCATGATACTTCTGTGTTCATAATTCCATCACTTTTGACAAGATCACTGGCTGCAATGCTTCCACCATGTTGACGCCAAGATAGCTGTAGACAAAATTTGGATTCATCGCCCATAAGGCCTATCACCACTGATTTTCAGTCCAGTTCTTGTATAATCTGGCATTCCTCAGTCTTTTCTCCCTCTTCCCTTACCTTAAAAATGGCTTTTTGACAGCCACCCTTCCACAGAAACCTTTTCTGATTAAGCTCTTGCAAAAAGTTTACATTTTAGCCAGATAAAACCAATTTATCTGGCTAAGGATAAATTGGTTGTTTGCTAAGTTGTCTGTTAGAAACAACCCTTATTCACATCTTGACTTAGGTGCCCCTTTAAAGCTTGTATGATTCATAGAAAAAATGTTCTCTCATGAAACTGTGGCACAAACATGAACTGAATCATTCAGTAATAAAAGATTCTCTGTAAAACAGGTCTGGCATTAACACACTCATAGGGATGAGGGGGGCAAGGAAATGAGGTAGAGACGATATATACACACACAGGATAATAAGCAGATACACAACAAGTAGGACGCACAGCTGGAAGCTATAGGAATAATGAGGTGGGGAAAGTGAACACAACGCCAGACAAAGAGAAGAACAGTTACCAAAATAAAACAGAAAGACACATCTGAATGGGAAACAATGGTTAACTTAACACGGGGGAGCACAGAAAAAAGGTCAAAAGCAGATGAGACTGGAACACAAAAAAACACAAAGAGAAACTAACTCAAAGCAAATCGGAACGTCAGCAGAAACTGAAACTAACAAGAACTGAAGGCTCGACAATCAGTGGAAAAAACAATAGATCAGACCCAAAAAACACGGCTATACACCATAAGCGTCTATACAAAACACGAGCTAAACGCAACTTGAAAATAACACGACAACTGCATAGACTGGAAACTGAATACTGGCTAAACAAGGAATACAGAAACTCAGCCCAGAGGGTAGCCTAAATGCAGGACTTCTTCCAATAAAGAAGCAAAATCCAAACAGGGTGCAGGAAAGGTAATTAAAAAAACGAAGAAGTCACCAAGGAGACATGAAACCTAAACATAAAACATTCTCACAATCCAAAGGAAATATGAGCTCACAAAAACTGAAAACCCAGGGATCAAAACCAATGACACATCCCAAATGAGTGAAAAAGCAGCCAATGCCCAAACAAAAACTTGGAAAAAATGTTTGAAAGAAAAACATGAAAATGCAATGGGTGGCTCAAGACTATTGCACAATGCTGCACATTTAAATATTGGAACATGTAAACTAAATTTTACTATAAGAAGGGCAACAATTTCACCTTCTTATACTTAATTTTACAGGAGCTACAACTGCATCATGTGGGTTATTAGCAGGGGTGCACATAAGTAGTCCGCAGGTGCGCATTCGCTGTCAAAATAAAAGACGCGCACCAGATAAGAAGTAGCAACGCGCGTTTGCGTACATAAGATTTTCTGGAGGAGGACAGACATTTGTTTAGAACTCTTAAAGATGTCGAAGAAGCAAGCTCCTTTAAGCAATTACTTTGGTGCTCCTCCACCTCCAAAGAAATGTCAGAAGGAGTCCGAACCACAAAAGAAGCGCGTATTCTCGGAAAAGTGGTTGCAGGAGGCGACCTGGCTTCAAACAAATGATGAACGCACAGAGATGTGGTGCAGAATATGCCATGAAAATCCCACTCTAGCTGACAAAAAACAGTGCCTTTTATATGTACGCAAACGCGCGTTGCAACTTCTTATCTGGTGCGCGCCTTTTATTTTATTTTCCGCACCTGCGGACCACTTATGTGCACCCCTGGTTATTAGCCAAGAAACAATAGGCCAAAGTCACAAGATAAAAACATGTTTTCTCATTATTTATTTCTGGACTTCACACTCCTCCTCGCTGTTCTTATCTATAAAGTGCTCTACAAACCTCAACATTACGGCTAACAGGTGGATTTTCCCATTGGAGTGCAGCTAGCCAAACAGCAAACAGCCACAGCTAAAGAGACAGAGTGAAAGTAGACAGTGTATCCTCAGTTTCTTCACATAAAACTCATTGTTGCAGCCAGGGGCAGCACAAAAGTGAGCCCCTTAAACTGATTTTTAGTTTTAGTGTTGTTATTTTCCTGTGGGTTATTGATTCTGTTGCTAGTTAACTAACATAAACTAAAGTAAGTCTTTTAGCCGCAACCAACCAACCACATGACGTCGCGTACTGACAGAGGATGGCACTAAACATGTTTTTAAAAGTTTCACTTTAAGCACTTATTTCTTAAATCCAGCTTCACAGACAGTGTTGCAGCTATTTTAGTTTTAGAGAGCAGGGCTCAATGGTGCAAATTAGCTGTTATATCTGTATTGTTTCATGTCCCTTTTACATCAATAGCCACATTTTACACGATTTCAGGTTTTTGTTGTTTGTTTGTTTTTTTATAAGAAAGTTTTCAAAAAACACATTTATGCATTTTGGGAATCAGTTGATGTTGTTCTTTGAGCTAAAATAGACCAACAGCAAGTAACCTTCAATGCCTGGGATATCTGACCCACCTGGGCGGTAAATGCTTTTTGAAACAGTCTCCTATGAGGCGCCCATGTTCAGACACTTTGTATTACTTTGTGTATCATGTAACATCAGGGAAATTAAAGCAGCTTTACATCAATACTATGGTAACAAAAAACTTTTCCAGGAGTCACATTGTGAAATGGGAACTAATAGAAGGGTTTTATTGTTATTTATTGCAGGGCGACTCCGGTGGACCGCTGGTGTGTGACAGACGGATCTATGGAGTTGTATCCTGGGGCAATGGTTGTGGTGATGCTAAGTTTCCTGGAGTCTACACGGCCGTGTCCAGATTCCGCCGGTGGATAGATCAAACCATCTACGGGTCATACCTGCGTTGCTTCAAACCGTGGAGATAATGAAAGCAGCCATTTGTGCCTGAAAGGAAACATTCCCATAAACACATTTAAGTTAGCATGGATAGGAAGTGGTTCTGTTGGAAGCTGCAGTGGCTGTTGAGAAAAACATTGCAGTGATAATTCAGATCACCTTTTGAATATAGTTAAACGCTGGATATTCTGAAATAATTACTATGATTATAGGATTCACTAGAATGCGCACCGTTTACAGTTACTGTAAATGTAATTTTAGTAGAGCTCACAGATTTGTGAAAGTTTTTTGATGCCAATAAAACACTCTGGGGCTGGTGTGGAGTTGTGTCAGCTCTGAATGCTGAATGACAAAAATCAGTTTTGGTCATAGTTTGACTTTTGTACAAAAAAGATAAATAGAAAGATCTGATCATGTACTTTCTAAAAAAAACCACAAACACAAACACTTATTTTTAATCAGTTTCTCGTGTGGTATACACTCAACTAGTAATTCATTAAATGCTAAAACTTGCTTGGACCCCATTTTTTCGTGGCACATCTTAAAGGTGCTCTACTGGACTGAGTTCTGGTGACTGTGGAGGCCATCTGACCACGCAGAACTCATTATCACGTTCAAGAAACCACAGTGAGATCATCTGAGTTTTGTGACATGTCCAGTTATTCTGCCTTAACAAGTTATCAGAAGATGAGTACATTGTGATCATAAAGGGATGGATGTGGTCTGCAACAATAATCAGGTAGGCCGTGGTGTTTAATCATGCTCAGCTGGTACAAAAGGGGCTTAAACTGTGCGAAGAAAATATCCCCCACACCATTACATCACCATCAGTAGCCTGAATCACTGATACAGCTACGCTGTAATATGTTGCGCATTCAGAAATGCTCTTCTGCGTACCTTGATTGTAACAAGTTGTTATTTCATTTCTGTTTAAAAGCAGGCACGTGCCTGTCTGTACTTTGAAATCTTCCCCCACAGCTCGCACTTCAGAGCCACGTGTAGCACCCTTTGGTTCTACACCTTGCTGCGTGGCATCTCCCTCAATCTTCCCTCCTGCCTTCCTGTCTCACTGTGACTCTGATAAATGCAAGATAGCAAAAACAATGAAGGATTTGAGGCAGCATTTGAGTCAGTATCTGATGACAATATATGGAGTCATTTATTTGAACAAACCACACCCAAACAGGCCTGAAAGAGAAGTTCATCTGAGTTTTAACTACTGCAGTGTTTATTCTTTCTTTTTGTTTTTGAAAATCTAATTTAACTGATCATAAAGCTCCATGAAGACATACTTGAGCCAAGTTCAGTATAATGTTAGCATCAAACCTTATTCAGCAGCTGCACTGAAGCTTTAGGAAAGAAAACATGACAAATACTTGATTTAGCAGACAAAAAAAATAGAATTTGCAAGAAGAAAATGCACTCTTTCACAATCCAACACTCTCAAGGGTTTACTGCTACTATTTTATCAGGTTACTTGTCTTCATTGCTTGGGAGCTTTAAGACCAAAAAACAGTCTTGATGGCGATGTAACCACATTTTGTGAAAAATATTGTTCTTTGAGATGTTCTCATATGAAAGAAGGATCCTCTGATAAAATCATTGCAACCTCAGCTCCGAAGGGAGGAGGTGTGTCATGACGGCACATAAAAGTTAGCTCTGCTGCAGGCTCCAATATCATTTTTCATTTCATTGTCTGTGTAATGATATTTAGGGAAGTTCCTCTGAGAAAGGATAGTCTATCTCAAGACTGAATACCTGTCCGTTCCTCCATGCCCTGTCTGTTTTGTAAGACAGTCCATTGTACTGTCATACCTATAGAAGTGAGATTAATGCAAACAGTAGACAGCAGTGGGTGGTAAAAGAAGCTCCAGAGGAATCAGTTTAACCAAACACCTTTTCAGGCTGCGGCAGACTTTTCTGTGCTAACATGAGGCGAAATGTTCTCAGTGTGGATCCTATTATACTATTACAGCATATGTATTCGGAATAATTATGTTATGAAGAAAAAAAATTCATACATACTGTTTTCTTTCTGGGGGGTCTACTTGATATTTAGCCATCGTTTCTGTAACATGGATTTTATTTTAAACAAACACAGTCACTGCTTTTTTATGCTAACCTTCGTTCTTTTCACTCCAAAATGCTGATGTGCAGTTTCCCGAGATACTGTGGGCGATAACGTGAAAACAGCACCAGGGCCTCAGCTGGGAACTTAAAGTGCGCCACGGGGCCAAAAGTCACATCCCAGCCTGTGAAAAGACTGCCATCATCTGGTGAGGTTTGACGGTCTCGTAAACCCCACGAACCCTAATAATAAAAATCTGAAAATTAATAAAAGAGGCTCGAGTTTTTAATATTTCGTGCTCGTCAACTGGTGGCGCAATCGGAATTGCTTCCTCCCCCTCCACACATAAAGATATGAATCGATTCCCATTTATGTGCCACCTTCGAATTTCAAATCGCCATTTGTTTTTATTGCGTCCACATTCGAGGAGAGAGGAGCATTGGCAGTACTACACCACCACTCCAACTGGACTTGGCTTCTCTGGGCTGCACCAGAAAACCCCCGAACAGCTCCCTCGCCAGGTCTCCCCGGGATCCGTGTTTTGCAGCGCTCCTCAATTTGCATTTCTTCCTCAGATTTTCCGTGCGACGGGTTCAGCCGCTCAAAACCAGCGGGCGCTTCACGGCTCGGTTATACGCGCGCCTCCATTTCCAAAGCAATACGCACAGAGAGAAAGCCTGTGGATTTTTTCTCCCCCCATTTTCTTTTTTCTTTGAATAATGTTGCCGAGCCTCCACGAGCAGGGAAACTGAGGACATTTTGAGTTACTGATATTTCTGTCGCGCACCTACGGAGACAGACACGTGTCTTCTGGGCACGCAGAAAGGGCTAGGTCGTGCCAGCAGATTTCATTGTTTATTTTCCCCTTTTGTTTTTTTTTTACGAAGGAGCCGGTTCAAGCTTGGCGACGAGCTATACATTTCAGTTTGTGCGCCTTGGTGATAAAGACGCATTTGGAGATGTCGGAAGTGTTGCCTTTCAACGAAGAAAATATGAGTCATTATGGAAATGAGGGCGACGAGGGACACCTTTCCTTCACCTGTCGTCTTCAAGACACCAACAACTTCTTCAACGGCTCACAGAACAAACGTCCGCCGAAACTCGGGCAAATAGGCAGGAGCAAACGGGGTAATTATATAATTAAGGCGTTTTCGCCTGTATGGTGATGTGGTGAATGCGCACATCGGCTGTTAGTGCACCATATTTAAGGATGTTTGCCTGAGAAACCAGATCGGCAACACTATTGCCTTGACGAGATGTTCAGTCGAGTGTATGGTCAGCGAACCAGTCTGTTGTTTGCATGCGTGTGTATTGTATTTTTTTTTAAATTATTCTGTTCGCATTGCTACACAAGTTGGATGCGCAGTGCGTGCCGCTAAATGCCTCCTGAATCTTGCTCAACAGAGTTGTGCTGATTGTCCCCTCCCAGATGAATGGCTGAACGAATTTTCTATGCAGTGTGATGGAGATTTTTGTGTTTGCATGATCAAGTCAGGCTGGCCATGTATGTGCTTTTGTGTGTCCTGCATTCCTGCATATCTACCAAGGTAGATAGTCCTTGAAAACTGAGGCTCAGTTGTGGTGGCACAGACATTTAGACAGACATAGTTCTATATACAGTAGTGCACAGAGACATGGGCAAACACAAAGACACATAAGACTTGCACCTGTGGGTGCACAGCCGACACTCGTACACAGTCACACCTGCACATTCCCAAATATGCATCAGAGGCGCCGATGCACATTCGTGGTTATCGCGCTCTTTTTGCATGGGCTTACGCTCTCATGCATGCACAAATCACTTATGCTCATACAGTTGCAGCACTAACGATTCAGGGCTTTGACACCCTTGTGTCGATGTTGAATTTTCAAGACGCCACACCAAGATGAGTCCCCCCCCCTTCCCCTCCCCTCATTAACTCTCTCCCCTGTCATCCACAGTTGTGATTGAGGATGAGAATGGCGACGACGAAGCGCAGAAAAATGGAACAGAGAAGACCCCGGCAGAGGCTTAGAGTGGTCGGCACACCACCCCCCTCAAAAGACACTCTTTAAATTTTTTATGGCGATATTTACCAGTTTTAATCCAAAGACACTGTATATAAGCACTTTCTCTCATGTGGCAGCAAGCAGCACTTCCACACCCTCCTCTCCCAGTCAGTCATGGCTGTCCGGATGACACATGCTGGCAGGGGTGGGAGATGGCAGCAAAGGAGACCCCCAAGTGGACCCTCCCCACTCACTCCCAACACACACTTACACTAACACACACACACACACCCTCAACTACAGGGTTTTGCCATAAATACAAACGCAGGAGAAGGCAATGGGGAAGGGGGAGGGCAAGGGGTGCAGTGGTGGGGGGGTTAAGGCAGGAGGCAATGCTGTCGAAATGCAGAAATCAGGGACAGGATACAAAAAAAAATCTAATATAAAACCTAAAGCACACAATTCTCCTATATCTTATCAATCAAACCTGTGGTACCATTTGTTCTGCTCTTCATTTTGAGCGAGGGCAAATGAATAGCAGTTTGTAAATATGGAAAGGGTAGCCCATATTTTCTTGCACAAAGTGGGAATTGGTAAACTGGTTTGTTTCGTGTTGAAGACTTTATTTATTATTGATCCTTGGGAACATGTCTTTTGCAGTGACTTAAGGCCTGAGGGAGTGTTTTTTGTATGTTGAGAAAACTGTGAGCAAACGAGAGTGATATTTTTTTCACTTAACAATTCTTGATGTTGCCTGAGTGTTTTTTGTTACCATACTTTGCAGCTAACGAGTCATTTATATACCGTGTACCTCCCACCTGTTTGTAAGCTTCCCAGGCTTTCACCTGGATTGGTTGATACTGTAACTTGACTGTACACACCTTATTGATAACAAAAAAAAAGACTATTTATATTGCATTGTGCATTATTGTGTGTGCCAAATCTCATGAGGGATATACTGTACCGGACAACTTGTTATTTTTCGTGCTTTATACATTTACTCGTTGAGTTCAATTGTTTTGTTGGGTTGCCATTTTTTAGGGCTCTTTCTTAAAACACTGAAATACCGACTCATGCATGGCAAATATAAAATCATGCATGCATGGCAGAAAATTCTGAAAATCTTGTGTATTCTTGAAGCACCTCGTATACAGCTTTGAATGACAAACCTCGAGAAACAGTCTTAACTCTGCGTTGTACTGTACGATTCACACTGATTTGTACAGTGGCCTAATATCTTGTAATAAAGATTATGACAAAGTACTATTTACTGTTAGTGTTGATTGTGGTTTACAATAAGGAATGATGTACTTGATGTTGCTTTTTTTTTGTTAAAACTGTTTTAAATCTGTAGCAAAAACACAAAAAATATAGTTTTGTATAAGAGAGACATTAGCAGATAGCTTGGCTTAAAATTTTGGATATGTTCCTTGTACAGTTTCTCCTGTTGTTATTGGATTGCCTATCTGGCAAGTCAGCATTTTCCACTGTGAGAAAGTAGCATCCTACTCCTTGGAAAGAGCAGATATGGAAGGAGACGGCATGATGAGCGAGTAATCCCATCAAAGAGCCTGGAATCGAAACTTTGTAGCGATTTGTCGAAAAGGAAAGTTGACACACTGCTTGGACAACTGCACAACAGACTCTGATCTCATGAAGTGCTACAGTACTGCAAATTAATTTGTGGGGAAAATGTACACCACTGCTTCCCAATGCAATAAATGTCTGTTTGCATTTAAAATCTCAGCTTCTCTCTTTAATCAAGTCGTCCCTCAACTCCGCTGCCGGAGATGTGAATGCTGCAGGAGCACCAAGGCGTGAGCAATGCTGATGAGACGTGACATTTCCAGCTCTGCTGTGGCGGCTAAATGATTCATGTTGTGTGACGAGCCTCTGTCAGCGTACGGCATCTTAAAACCCGGGCCGCCTGTATCTATGCTACAAACACATACATCCAAGCAAACACAGGCACTCGCGTGTCCGTTTCAGCTCCAACTGCAGGCGAGACTAACATATTGCTAGTCTCTCTCTCCCTCCCCATCTTGACAGACATGAAAGGGGCTGCCTGCGCCGGGTACCATGGTAACAGATGCACCTTGCACTTCATGGGTGTTGCGGTGGGTATTCGGTGCAGAATAGTCTTCCCTGAGCCTCGGCTTGATGCAATCGCGAGCTTTAATGGAATGCTCTCCATTCTCTTATCTCTGCCCTCTTCTCTCAAGACCCCCTATTCACTCTGTGGCGTGACCACATTATCCTGCCAAAATAGTCCCTTCCTCCAAGATGGCAGTAAAGCATGACAGCAATGCCTACTGCAGTAAGAGTCTATCCCCTCACACAGGATCAGGGGATGTTACATTTGGGGAGTAGCGGTTTACCATTGCCTGTGCGGTGGATCTTTTTATACAAAATCGTGCATGGAATGCTCGATTCGATTAGTTGGATGAAGTTTGGGTCTCCTCAGTCTGAAGTAAAACTCACAAACTGTTCCCACACAACCAAACCTTTAGAGTCTGAGTGACCCATGATTGCACGAAGGAGATAAAAAAAAAAGAAGTGCCATTCGTAGATAAGTGGATCATTTTTACATTTGCCAGTTAGGTCAGATGATATGATTTGGGGTGGCACAGTGGTGAACTGTGTTGCCTCACCGTAGCATGGTCCTAGGTTTGAATCCACAACAAACAGCTGGGATAGGCTCTAGTCCGTCCCGCAACCCTGAATTGGGCAAGTATTAATTTTCTTTTTTATTAGCAACCTCGGTTGATTTCATAGAAATGTAACAAGACGTAGGGTCAGCTTGGCTCAACTTGATCTTAATTTAATTAACCAGCTCTGAATCTCGATGCAGGAATTTCTATGATTACAACTTTGGATAAAATTGGGCATTTTGTGTCCCAATATCAAGGATCAAGGTATTTCTTTCTAAGAAACAAGCAAGCTTTATTCGTCACCAGAGATGGGCAAGTAACGCGTTACTGTAATCTGATTACTGTTTTCAAGTAACGAGTATAGTAAGGGATCACTATTGCAAAAACGGTAATTAGATTACTGTTACTTTCCCGTAGGAACGCTGCGTTACTGCGTTACTAAAACCGTGATTTTTTTGCGAGAATGTCTCATGACAGTGACAGCTGTGTGCAGATCAACAATGGATCATATATCGAGTGCAGGAGAGAGTGTGAGCGTGCAGCGTTTAAAGCGTGGAAGTACTGACCTTACTTTGAGTTTGATTCCATAAAAAGTGACAAAAACATTAGCGTCCGTTGTGCGTGAGAAAAAAACCCCTAAACTTCCGAGCAAGCACCGAGTGCGCAACGACGTAATGGGAAACTCACAGAGAAACTCGCGGATTCTTCCACTGACCGCTGCGGCACACCTGCACCAGGGCAAACCTCTGCCTATCCCACTCCTGCTTTACAGTGAAAATAGAGCAACAGGACCGCTAGTCTTTGACTTTATTTATTTTCTGCTGCGTTTTACTTGCATCTATTTGAAAGAGTGAGTGTAAACACAAAAAAATATTTTATTTTATGTGCTGGAATGTGCAGAAAATAGGTTTAAATGTTAAACAAATTTCACATAATTACATTTTTGCTTCATGCATAAAGTTAAAAGATTAAAACGAATAAAACAAGTTTTAAAAAGAGACTTTTCCATTTGATTACATTTTGTATGACAGATTATGCAGAAAAAGTAGAATTGGGCTGAAAGATCTATCGCTTTATCACCTATTCAGGTTGTAAATCGTATAAAAGTAACTAAGTAATTAATTACTCTTATAGCTGCAACAAATGTCTCTCTTTCAGCATTAGAAGAAAGCCTAGTTTTATCTTCTCGTTTCCCACAAGTTGTGAAGCTTAAAGATGAGCTGAATCTATGAAGTATTTCTGAAAAGAGAGGTTTTCCCTTCATTTGGACCAAAATGTTGAGCGAGTTCTTTCATCAGCATTAAAGACAAGTTTTGCAAGTCATGCAAAGCTTTGTGAACGGTGTCAAAGCTGAAAGGAAGTTCTGGGAGATTCCACATTCATGTGGGTGCAGAGCAATAAATAACAGATCTGTGTGCATAAAAATAGCTTTTAACTTCATTATGTATGGTGCAAGGTTAGAAATAGAAAGTGAGGTTGTATATGTGTTGGACTAAAACCAGATACATGATCAGAGTGAAAGGTAACTGCCCCGAGGCATTACCAAAGTGGTGAGACGTAGCTGTCACAGTTTAGCATTTTTAAATTAGTTTATATTTTTATTTATATTGAGAAATTATTATTTAACGGTATTATTTAGGAGAGTTTTTTTTAATAAAAAAAAGTTCAACACAGGTACCACAATAGAAACAGCACAAACTGTGAAGGTAGCTTACTCAGAGTCGTGTAAACATGAAGTCATCCCATAGAACAGGGGTGTCAAACATCAGGCCCGGGGGCCGGAAATAAAGCCTGGCCGCTGAAGGTGGGCAAGCTTTTGAAGTTTGTGTGTTTGACACGCTTTACAGCTTTTTGTATTGACCAAGACCCTGCTCTCAGTTGGCATTCATACCACACCAAAGTAATCAAGAAACAGATTCTTATATTCCTGTTTTTCCGCAATCTACAAGTTTGTTTTTCACAGTATAAAAAAAGAAGAAGACATTTCTGAAAAAATGTCTGTCTTTCACCGTTTATTTCAGCTTTTCTCACCTGGTTTGGTTTTTAAGATCATATTAGTTGACTATAATTGTCATGGCTGGGGCAGCAGCCGTGTTGTGGAATGAATGAGGAGCCAAGATGCAGATGGCGGTGGAGATGCGAATGAGGATTTATTTACAGTGGAAAAGAACCAAAGCCAGGACAGAACTAAACATAAACCTAGACTGGGGAAACTAATAACAAACCAAACCTGAAACCATAACTCACAGAAAAACATAAGGAAATGACACTGGGGATGGCAAGCAGGAATAAAGGCCAGAGAGACACTGGGATTAACAAGAAACACAGACGGCACAACGAAGGACACAGGCAGACACACCCTATAAATACACAGAAGGTAATGAGGGAAAGGCACACAGCTGAACCTAATTCACCAGACGAGACACGGACCTTCAAAGTAAAACAGGAAACACACAGACTGTTTTACAACACAAACACGAGGACACGAACAGAGCAGCGAGGACAGACACAGGTAGGGCTGATAAAACACTAAACTCCAGGTTCAACCCTAAACAAATACAAAATCAGAATGAACACAAAATGAAATCCAAGGAAACACAAAACGCTGGGTCAAAATAACCCAGGATCATGACAATAATAAACTTACTCAGTTGTCATTCTGGAATATTTTAACGCATAGATCCAGCAAAACACTGGATAAATAGCACAACTTACAACTCTGGGGGCCTCATTGTGCAACGCAATAGAAATCCTTTAGCCATTTTATATTATACAGTTTATCACTGCTAGTTTACACAGCTACTTGCTTAGAACTTAGTTCCTCCTACGCCGGGCGGCGCATCGGGCAGCTAGTGATCTCCATCGATGTCGGTCAGCAGCGACTGCTTCAGCTTCGTCCCAGGCAAAGTCGACAGTTCTCAGATCGTCCATGAATGTTCGACGCCATGTGGTCTTTGGTCGGCCTTGCTTTCGGACACAGCTAATACACGCTCACAGATAAACGTGCAGTTTTGACTCACTCTGGGGATATATCTTTAGCCGGGGCTGAAATGTCTCTGTGCAGTTATTTGGGCAGTTACTATAAAATATTATATAAATTAACTTTAATGTCAATGGCCACTGTGATATAAAAACGGCCTTTATAGAATCAGCCGGTCAAGCCTGATAAAGTTTGCTGGCTTTGCTCGCAAAATAAGGTTTTTAAATCTTTTTACCTCTGGAAATTGCATTTCAACCACCTTCTTTCTCTGGGGGACTCTCTCTCTCTCTCTTATGTTGTAGTTCAGCAGAACTAGAACTCCTGATGCAGAGAGGTGCAGGAGATGTTGCCCAGACTTTTCCTGTGTGGCCATCACTGTTAAAAGATGCTCAAAAGATGACACGTACGATTCAACAGATTCTTTATTGTTGTCATTAACAGTTTAATATGCTTAGTTGCTTCTTGGATTATATTGTGGCAGTTGAGTTTTGTGATGAGCACTCATGAGAAAGTAATCACCAGTGCTGTGACGGGGGGGGCAGATGAAAGTCAAACTCAGCGTAGCTGTTAGGTTACATAAGCTCCGACAGGTGAAGAAGACAAGGCAGAAAGAGGATGAAGAGGAGCACTGTGAAGGACAGGAAGAGACAATCCAGAGAGAATGAGAGAGAACATTCACAGGTCGCTGGCAGAAAGTGGAGGAAAAAAGAAACCACACCCTGCTAGCTGCGACACACACACACACACACACACACACACACACACACACACACACACACACACACACACACACACACACACTCGGGCAGTTTCTCACACGGCTGTCCCCCTCGGAAATCCCAAACTATGCTGCTCTCCACTGCAACCCTGAATCTGACCTTTGTTTCTGCCAGGGAAATACCCAGTGTGGCCTGACATGCTGAACCACTCCCTGGGAAAATCACCCGCTCTGTTGGTTTTGGCGTGAATCAGTGGGCGCTATATGGCTCAGCAATATAATGTGTGCGCATGCAAATGGCTGAGGCGACATTTGCATTTGGTTCCACTGCGTGTGTGCGGTTATACATGCATGTGTTGATGTTTCTTTTTATTTTGGTGTGTGTGTGTGTGTGTGTGTGTGTGTGTGTGTGTGTGTGTGTGTGTGTGTGTG